TTGGGGCCTTTTGAAGTGGCCTTTCTCATCTCATTGCAGGTTCACTCTTTCAGAGACAGCATTCTACAGAAAGGGGAGAGGGGGGTCTCCAATATCTTAAGTGCACTGGGATTTGATCAAATGTTTGAGTGGCATAGTTGTTTTTCATCTAGGGTGGGATTGGGTAGGTAGGTTTGGCTTAGTGGTACTGCTACTGTTGAGCTGGTGATGGATGTGCCAGGGTTTCTCTCCCTTTTGGTGGATTTGGCAAACCAGGGTGCCCATTGAGGTCAGCAGTGGAGTTGACTCTCTGAGAGAACATTACATCACACATGCAGGTGATCTTTCAATCAGCCTCACTTCTGGAACCACTTTCAAATGTTAAATTGTATGTAGACATTGAAAGTCCTGGGTGGATGAAGGGGACCATCTCCTGGGGTTGGGGGCTGGTTGTCCTCTGGAATATCAGTAACTGGATGTGGGGAGTATAGTGTGTGTATGAGGAGTGTGAGGGAGTGTATTGCATCCATTCCTGTGCGCCTTTATGCTGTGTGTATGAGAGTGTTTTTGAGGGTGGGATTGCTGTCTGTTGGTTGGTGCCTCCACCCACTAGTGCAGTGGTGGTTCTTAGTGTCTGGGGCTAGGTGTGTGTGCAGATAAATAATAATGATTGTCTGAGAGCCTTTTTCTTTACTTTAACTGATTCTCTGAGTTGAAGAGAATCAGTTCTCTTCAACTGAACTGATTCTTCATATCTTTGCTCTGTCATTTGATTCTGACGTGATTGAATCATATGTATATATGTAAATCCATGCAAACTTCAACTATATATGTGTGGTTTGTATTTCTATTAAGAGCATATAAAATTAATAAATAGTTCTTTCAGAGTAAAAACAATAATAGTTGTTTCAAAGACGTAAGAATACATTTTGCACTGTGTTAATATCTCCCTTCATTTTTCCTGCAGACGTGAAGAATTTAGAGAACTTCCATTTGGTGGAAAGTGTTCAGGAGCAGGTCAACGCAGCACTGCTGGACTATGTGATGTGCAACTATCCTCAGCAGACTGACAAGTTTGGCCAACTGCTCCTTCGACTGCCGGAGATCCGAGCCATCAGCCTGCAAGCCGAGGAGTATCTTTATTACAAACACCTGAACGGCGACGTGCCCTGCAACAACCTACTCATTGAAATGCTGCACGCAAAAAGAGCTTAACAACTGGACAGTCCTGATTCATTCTGCAACCGCAAGGACGTTTGTAAAAACTCATCGACTCATGTTTTTTTTTTTTTTTTTTTTTTTTTTTCCAAAACCCAAACCTCCAGCTTGTTTGCGAAGATAATAAATTCGGGAAGCTTAAAGTGTCAGAAACTCTTATTTATACTGAGCTCATTATGAACTTGAACACTCTGAGACTCACGGTGTGCGCTAACAAACAGCATTTAGATTGCTTTATTGTAAAAATTCTAATAAAAATAAAAAAAGACTGCAGAAGACTGTTCTCTTCAACTGAACTGCAGAAAACAAAGAATTTTGAAGGGCAACAAAGAAAAAAACACTTGAAACAAACTCCATGTTTGACACTACATAATGGTTTCTGCTCTAGCAGCACCATACGACTTTAGGGTTACAAGTTAAAGCCTTCTGAAAATAATAAAAGGTGGATTTGTGCTGAGAAAAGGAAGCCGAATAACACTGCCCTTCTTTCAAACAGCTCTGTATCAACAGTTCAATGTTCCTCCTGTGTGTTGTCCCACTGAAACTGGGCTTCAGCTGTCATCAGTACTGTAAAGTCAAACTGACAAGCAGCAGCCAAGCAAGTGACTCTATTTTCTGATCTCCCATATGACACCTGCAACAGCAGCTTGAATCAACAAACAAGGTAAAATTGATGAACAAAAAACTAAAGGGTGAAATGTTTCTGTCTTTTTCCAGACATTTTCTATTTGTTGTTGACCCCTCATCTTTTTCATCATTCTAAGAATCTTTTGCTATTTACCTCAAGAAGAACAGTGTTAGATAAGCCCTCTTAATAAAGTCACCATAAAAAATTGTGTGCATACCCCCATTTTTTTCTGCAGTTAACACTTTCTTTTTAATATTTTACCAAACTTAGAACAAAACAAGTCATGATTCCACAGATGGAGACGGAACAATCCTACCTTCCTCCAAAAAGACCAAAGCCCACCATAGAAGAGGGAAGGAAATGACTAACACCTTAATAATCAGTGTTACAATGCGGAAAAGAAAAAAAAAATTGTGATGTCACAATTATGTGAGTCTTGCCTTATTTCATTACCATGCTAGCTAACCGTGCAGATGTGAATGAAAATATGTACAAATATATAAATATATATATAAAGTATTAATGTTGTAAAAAAAAAATAAAAAAGACTAATTCAACAGGTGTTTACATTCATGTTGTCATATGGGAGAGAACTGTGATGAAGTTTAATTTGCAAAGTAATGATTTCCAAATGAAAAATGAAATTATCAAAATGAAGAAAAGGGTTTCTCTAGTGTGTTTTCTTTGGTTTGTGTACAGTGTTTACTCTTTTTTTATTTCTTTATAACAGTACTTAAATTATGTCGTGAGACACTAAAATAAAAGAGGAATCACACAATTTAAATTTTTTATCAGCAATGCTGTCTAAAGATTGTGCTTCCCTCTCAGCATTTTATTTGTAAATCCCGTTTTTGCTTCTTTTTTTTGTTTGTTTCTCGTTCTTTAAATTTTTTGATGTACAGTATGTCACTGGTTACTCTTACTATTGAAGATAATTTATTGCGTCGCTGGGTCTCCATCTTTGTGTTACATGACGTGAGGTGTCCACGCCAAAATAAATTTGTTTATTGTAGCATGCTCTCTGTTTTGCTTCCATGAGTGGTTTTCAAATACACAAAACCCCTTAAATTTTTCTCATCTTTTTAAATGTGTATGCAGGTGTGCGCATTGAAGAGTATTTTAGGGGTGTAATATGTTTGTGTCACATCAGTTTTACTCACTAAATATGAACCTGAATCTTTGTTCTGTCTGGTTTGCTCTGATACCAAAGACTTCTCCTTTACCCTTTTAGATACTTTAATGACTGTGAACACAATTGACACACACCAGTGAAAATAAGTACTGAACACATCAGTGTACTTTGGAGATCACTGATATAGAATTCAGATGTCAGCAACAAAACAAATATTCCACACTGTAAATAAACTAAGCCATTTAGTTCCAACATTAATTTACTGTATCTAAGTTGAACTGAAACTAAAATAAGCTTTTAACTAACTTACTAAATATTTTGTAGTACGCAGCAGAAACATCTCTTGGTAGTAACAACTTCAGACATCCTCTTTATGTTATTCAGGCAACTTAAGGGCACACTATTAGTTGAGCATGAAGTCTTTTCTCTGACTTCATGCGGAATTTCCATGGTGGTGTCTGGGATAATTTTCTTGATGGAAAAGCTGCTCTCACTTCATATTTGGTGTCTTAACAAGAATGTGCCACTTCTTTGTCCATTCAGAATTCCTTCATTGCATAAAGTCTGCCATTTCCGAATGCTGAGACAGCAACACACCACAATGTTTAGTTCAAACTTCACAGTTGGCATTTCTGAGTTATTGTGAACAACCGTTTTGCCTCCAAACATAGTGTGTGGTATAATATGCAACAAGTTGTATTTTGATCTGGTCTGATTTTGATATATCTGTGATGTACATTGGCTTTATTCATGTAAACAGGTTTCCACATGCATTTTCTTCATCTGCAGAGTCTTGCACAGTGAGTGGACATGGAGACCATTGGAGCAAAGTGCATTACTTTTTATTTTAATGGAGAATCGCATCGCTTAACTCCAGGTCTTTTTGAAGTTCCCTGCATGATTATTGAAAAAGTCTGCTGAGAAAATTTTTCCACTCCTCTGTCAGCAAGGGTCACTTGGCAGCAGCAATGATGTTCTTTCAATTATGTATTTTTGCTCCAAAATTGAATTAATTAAAAGCCTATTTCACAGACAGGGTCAAAAATACGACAGAAAACACAATCTATGCATCATAAATCAGTGGACATAAAAAATAAAATATATAAATAAATAAGTTGAAAAGGCATTAAAGAAAAATATATGAACATGAAAAAGATGATAGAAAAATACAAAAGACGGTATAAAATCTTATGTACCGTCTTTTGTACATAAGGTGGGCATGCAATCTATTAAATGCCCACCTATTAAATAGGTGGGCAGAAGCTATGGAGGTGATTCAATATAATAAGGCTGCAAATGTACTTTTAGTCATCATATTAAATGAGTCATTAATTTGCTCTGGTCTGGAGCATGATAGCTTCCTAAATACTGACAGATTTCAAAAATCTCTTTGGCTTTCTGTCTTCAGATGCAAAAAGCATCTGAAGACAGAAAGCCCCAGTTTTTTTTGGAAACTGGGGATATTCATATCCCCAGTTTCCTTCCAAATTATTATCAATAAATACATTTATTATGATGTCCCTGTTTTAACTGGATTGTTTTCCATTACATTAAAAACCCTTCATTATTCTTATGCCAAAACCACTCCTTTTATCACATAGTTGCGTTTTTGATCTAAATATCCCCTCGCTTGATTCCAAAAACTGCATGACTGTTAATCATATTAAAATGTTGTTAATGAATTAATATTTAGAACAAAACCTTTCCAGAGACATGTCTAATTCTTCTGCCATCTCTGTTGTTTAAATTCTGAAATTTCCCATCAGAACTCGATCTTGAACTTGATTGATCTCTGAGGCAGATAAGCATTTTGTTTTTGTGGTATAGTTATAAAACTGTATTCCCCTTTTCCTGTGATGTGTTAATTTAAGCTTAAATATTGGTTGTTCAGTAAGGTAAACGGTTTAACATTTCAACCAACAAAGCATTCACAACATGTAGGAATGAGACATCAAATACATTTATTAGAAAAAAAAAGAAAAAATACATATGGATGGATATATTATATATATATATATATATATATATATATATATATATATATATGTGTGTGTGTGTGTGTATATGTATGTATGTACATAATTGAATCACATTTACACAGAGTACCTCTGTTCAACTTTTATTTCACCTTCTGTCACATTCTGGGTCTTAGCTGATTGTTAAAATTAGTTACAAATCACTTCAAAAAATTATTACAAACAAATTTAAACCAAGAATGGGAAAGTTAAATACTGTATATAGTAACTGTACAGAAAGAAAACTAAAAGATCTTATAGAAAAAATATAGTTAGTTATATTGGCTTAATAGTAATAAGACAATAAATTGAACATAAACTTCAGGTATTATGTAAATATCATCCAGTATATCATTAAAATGTGTTAGTCAGTCAGTACCTCCTCATTTCTCCCTCAAATGAGTTTTCTTATTTTTACAGAATCACTGATTAGAGAGAACAGAATAAAAAGAGGTACGATAGAAAAAAAGGAAACATCTATCAGAAAATAAGTCACAATTTTAAACAACACATCATTAAGCCAGTTTGGTCACTCTATGCAGAGTTTATCTAAGGTGGAGGAATGCGAGGGAAACAGGAAGCTGCAAACTCAACGTCCATGGGAACATGAAGGCTGCATCCAGCTGGCAAGGCATCCACTTCTACAGGAGGAGGCTCCTGGGCGTAGGAAGAGAACAGGTAACTATTCAGTGCAAACATCCAATGTTTGTATTTAAACTTAATGGTTGAAAATAATAATTTAAAAAAGAAAACAGCTGGGAAACTACAAAAAAGAAAAACAGATTTAAATTCTACACTTCAACTATGATTAAAACGACACAGAGAAAAAGTAAGATTTTTTTGTATTGTCAAGTGCCTATACAAAAAGTTATAGAGATAAAAAGTATACTTTTTTTTTTTTTACAAAATTATTGGTGTACATTTGTATCCTCAATACTCTTTCTTCTATGTACAACTGAAGGAACATCAAGTATTACTGATAGTAATGGTGATACTTGATGTATAATTTCCTCAAATTATGGCACAATTTGAGGAAAATTGGTACTGATCACCTCTTTTTTACAACTTTTAAATTTAAAAAGTTAAAAGATGATAAGATAGATAAATAGCATGAATCCAATTTTAAAATCCACATGTTTTTTTGTTCACATACATTCTCTGTCTAATCTGGAAAATATGCTAAAACACTCACAGTTTAATTGTTATGAGAGCAGATTTATAAAGTATCACCTCCTGGACTGAATACAATTAGACACCACAATTTTAACTTTTTTGCAAACAAAGAAATTTGAAAATGAGGTTGCAGACAACAGTCATCCCTTTTCATCTTAACTGATTTGTTTAAAATTGAAAACACTAACATTTAAATGATATGAGGACACATTGAATTTCTAAGCAAGTAACAGAAAGTATTAGCAGTGCTGACACGGAGCAATAAGGATGCCTGTCACAGACAGGCAAACGGCCAGCTCGATTCCCGACGTACACTGTTGCAACCCACACTTGAAGCTTGGCTTGCAGTGCCTGCCCTCCTGTCTGTAAACGTGTTAAAACCTGCTTTCACTCGCTCTGAATTTGTATAAATAATGTATATACATTTATACACAGACTCTAACAAGTGCAGCCTCAGGTGAAAATACTCAGAAATGCATGCTCTGTGCATCCCTGAAGGTGGACATAAGCTCCAAACCAAGTAACTCAAAAGATAACCATGAAGAGAGTGAAAACACACACACACATGGATAACTCGCCAAAAGCAACATAAGCACAGAGAGACCGTTTTTTTTTTTTTTGTTTTCTTTTTTTTTTTTCACTCTCTAACACACAGTGCTGTCAGTTTCTAAACAAGTTTTCCTCTCCATCACACAAACAGCCCCAAGTTTCGTCTGCCAGTGTTATATGAAGCTTTTAAACTCTGGAACCACATCACTCGTGTTTACCGAGACGTGCTTGTATGTTTCCCTACATTGTCAAGCACAGTCAAAGCGAAAGAGACCGCAGGGGTGAAAAAAAAAATGCTAAAGCTTTTAGAAGTGTTCCAACACTGTGGAAAAATGTGTAATAGTGTGCTAGAATAAGAATATTTGCTTCGCAGCACAGTTTGAGGGGGGCCCTGAGGCTTTATTGGCCGAATAGCTGCACAAATGTGTCACCAATCAGTTTTTCTATGATCATGATCTGCTCTGCACAATTTGCCACGTTCCCACTATTCACCAGCCTATACATTTAAATTAGCTGCTTCCACAGTCTGCAGACATGTGTTGACATAAAACATTATTTTTTAAAAATCAGGTATCGTCAGCTTTTTGAAGTTTGTTCTGATAGTTGATAAGATAAATTATTCAGTGTTTCCCAAGATGGAGAACCTATAAAGGCTATAAAATATTTTATGATTACACTGGCAAAACAAAAGAATATGCAACATTAAGTAACTGTGGTGACTCTTTATGTTTTAACAGTCAGATACAACCTTAAACTTAAAAATGGTACAGTCACCTTGATCATTTTAAGGTATTGTCAATGAACAAATATATTTATCACATTTCCTCATATCGTGGAACATTTATTGATGCATGAATTTGTTTTGTGTTCATCTGACTCAAATATAAAACACATATGCAGAACATGAAAACAAAAAAGAAACAGCTCAACCCTTCAGAGACGCAATTAGCCAACGTTCTAATCACTTACACCAAACAGCAACTGGGGGACACGATGTTTGGCGGCCTGATGGACAAACTTTAAAAATGTAAAGATCAAATTAATAAGCAAGCATTGTTAATGGGCAAACTCACTATTATTATGCAAAAGCATCACTATGGCATGCAAAACAAATAGTCTAAGGTTTGGAGATGGAATAGTTCGAAGGCCGCTGCCGTTTCATTTCAAAGCATGCATTATACATCATTGTGCATAAAGAGGAAGCCTACAGCATTATGCTGTCCCCCTACCCTGCCTCCCCACCACAATGATTATCCTTTATTATTCATTAAAAAAAAGATTGAGCGAGAAAAAAAAAATACAACTTTTAAGCACCTGAACCTAGCTGCCAGCATTCCATTAATTGCCTGCACAAAGGGGAGAGCCTTTGGAGATTTTTCAATTTCAAAAAATGAGGAGCATGCATTCAGTCGTGCTCATGTTATACTGGCACTTAAATCCTACAGAGCTCACATAAAAAAGGACTCAAGGTTGCATCCGATTGAAAGCCTCCAACTACAGCCACTTTAGAAATCCATTTAGCAAGCGGGAGGTTAGAACATCTAATTCAAACACAGCCGCTCTGTTAAAACGGTTGCACCAATGTCTTTTAAAGAAAAGCACACACTTTCTCCTGTGTTTGCTAGGCTTCATTGTAGGAAATATGAACCTGGCTCATAGAAAGACGGCAAGACACAAAGAATTAATCTTGCCAGACCTCAGCCAAGTGGCGAAGGTGAATGCTGGTGAATGACTGCTTGTGGAAACTTGACCTTTCTTTCAATGAAATCAAAAGGAGAGCTCTATGGGAGCAACAAAAGAAGAAATGTTGTGACTGTAATGAAATGACAACCTGATAATCACAACACTATTCATCAACTGCCGCATCTGGGATAAAACACAATTATATTTTTGGTGTGACCTCTAAGAATGTCTGTAAAGAGACGATAAAAAGTTTAATGGAACAAAACTACAATAAGGTAAAAAACAGTTAGTGGCCACTTAACCTAAAGTTTATTCTCCTAAAAACACATAATTAATCAACACTTGAGCTGCAACTAATGTTTGCGATTTAATTGCTTATTTGAAAGACTATAGCCACTTGTTCTTACAATTAATAGATCAGTAGAAGCATTCAGTAAAAACAAATAAGGAGAATAATCTTATTAATGAATACAAGTGGGTGAGTAGTTGTGAATTTATAGCTCACTTATTGCACATAGTTCTTTAGATACAATGATGTCCATTTAGGTTTTACTGCCTCTTTTTAGCTGATGGTAATATATGATTGTTACAAGCTCTCCTTAGCCTCACAGTTTGTGATAAGCATATTCTGAAAAGTGATTCTAAAGTATAAAAAATAAAATAAAAAAGAAAGAAACTAAACAAAAGAGAAGTGATGATGTTGCATATCATCACCAACCTAAAATAATGGTTTAGGTACATTTTAGCCTTTTTTTTTTTTGCCTAATTCATATTTTGGCAAAACAAAAAGAGGGGGAGATTTTTTTTTTAAATTTATTTATCTACTTAATCAGTTTCGGCAAAAAATAATTTTGGCCATTCATTATTTTAGAAAAAATGATACTAAACACTGAACTTGGGCAATAATGCATAAAACAGTAACAATCCAAGAAAAGATTCAAGTCGAATCATCTTTTTGCCCTTGAGTAAAAAAGTTTTTTTATTTTTTCATCTGAGAAACTTTATGCTCACAAACAGCAACTGTGGATCTCTTAGTGGTTTGGGTATGCATTTCTGCTAGAGCTATGCAGTATTGATGTGCCATGACATATGTCCCTGTCCCTGACATTGTGTAATTCCCTGGAAACCAAGATTCAATAATTTTGGGGGAGAAGAAGTCAGTTCCATTTACTTTCATGACTTTCTTTGTATACCAGGAATGCTGCATACCTACAATGAAAATACTGATGGTCTACAAGTCAACATGCTTTGAGATGGTGTCTAGTAGTGTACATGTTTGTCAATGATGAAATGTGTTAACACACCATTCATTTGTTTCTATAAATGAAATAAACTGTGAATCTTCACAAAAAGGAAAAAAAAAAAACTTTTCTTCTTTGCCTCTTTCAAACCCTCTCATTTTCAGCTCAAGGGACATTTCTGGGAAGTCCGCACATGCAAACAGTTGCATTCACATTGTCCCCATCAAAGAAGACTGATTATTTAGTCTGCCATCTCCCTCTTGAGACAATAATGGTTTCTGTTTGCTGGCCTGAAGTCTTAAGTGAATCTGTCTTTTGCCAGAGGCAGCGGCAGTGCTGTAACATTGCTCTTTTAAAATAAGCATCAGTGATTAAAATGTAACAAGCAAAAGGACAATATGAGGAAATAAGACACAATATCCTTTGAGAAAATTCTTTGAGAACTTCTGATCTGTTGGATCAGAAGTTCATTTTAGAAGGACTTGGAAAAAACTGTTGTTTTAGGGAGTGTCAAGCTCTTGTTTCCTAAATTGTGGATCTGAATCACAAATGTTTGCTTTAGTAACTGTTGAGTGGCTCCTAATAAAATAAAATAAAAATAAAAAAATCAGTATATAATAATGAGAAATTCCAGTTTTTTTAAATATAACAGGTTCTTAAATAGTAATGTATCTCCAACAGTAAGTGCAGTGTTTTGCCTGAGTTCAAATTGTTTCAATAATTTTCTTCATCTAAAAAGTTTTTATGGCCTCCAGTAGGGAAAGTTAAATGCATAAAATGATGAAATTTTTTTTTATGTGGCTGAATTTCTTACCAGGCAGTGTTGGCTGACTTGTTGCCACTCTTTGTGTCTGGATGAAAGCCACCAAAAAGTCACTTTAAAATCACTTAAACCTACAATAAGCCTTAGGGACGTCCGGGGAATAGTGTCAGGACACTGCATCTGTCATCCATGAGCACCATATTACTACCGGCTATAAAATAAGTGGGGAGGTTAAAGGGAGAGACAAA